GCCACGGAATACCAGATGAGGTCATCTCAGACAGAGACAAGCTCTTCACCTCGAAGTTCTGGAAAACTCTCATCGCGCTCTTAGGAATGAAGCAGAAAATGTCAACCGCATTCCATCCTCAGACCGATGCACAGACAGAACGAATCAACCAGATAATGGAAACTTATCTTCGGTGTTATGTGAACTACAAGCAGGACGACTGGGTGCAACTACTTCCACTCGCTCAGTTTGCATATAACAGCGCGGATCAAGAGACCATTGGAGTATCGCCGTTCTACGCGAATTATGGGCACAATCCCACGGCATACAACCCACCAATAGCCGGTCAGGGTACCGCGCAAGAAGCCATACTACAGGCAGATGAGCTTAAACAGCTCCATGAAGAATTGTCAGCCGATATTCTCTTCATCGCGCAGAGATCTGCGATCTACTACAACAGAAAGCGTAGCATGGGACCAACGCTCAAGGAGGGGGATAAAGTCTACTTACTCAGAAAGAATATCACAACCAAGCGACCAAGTCACAAATTGGATCACAAGAAGCTAGGACCATTCAGGATTGCAAAAGTCAAGGGACCAGTCAATTTCCAGCTAGCTCTTCCAAGGACAATGAACATCCACCCGGTATTCCATATATCCCTCCTCGAACCAGCACCACCAGGAGCACCACCGGCTCCTGTCACCGAAATACAACCAATCAACCCGAACGCCGAGTACGAAGTAGAGACTATTCTCGACTGTCAGTATTCCCACGGCAAGGCAAAATATTTGATCAAGTGGAAAGGGTACCCACAATCGGAAAACACCTGGGAACCCAAGTCTAACCTCCACTGCTCGGGACTCCTCCAGCGGTACCATCGGGAGCATGGGGGACCGCGGCGGAGGGGGAAGGAAAAGAAAGCCCCAACCAGAAGGAGTCGGGCAACCCGGAAAAGGCTTGGGGATCAAGGGTAGGATCCTCGAGGAAGCGGGAGGCTTCCGCCAGGGAAGAAGCGGCTTCTTCCTGACGAGCGGCCTCCGCGCGTTCGGCAGCTTCAGCAGCGTCGAGTTCGTCGAGCGTCTCGACGCCTCGACGGATCATCTCTTTCTCGCGATCATCCAGGAAGCGCTGTTGCTTGCGAAGGCGGAGGATTTTCGCCATCGCCTCTTCCTCCTCGTCACGAAGTTTTTGGCGCTGGCGATCCAGCGAGGACCAGTCGCTCAAGGACGGGAGTTTCGAGGTGTAATTACAAGAGGAGCGCTTCTTGCGAACGCACTCCGAACAGCGAGTGGATTCCTTGGAATCCACCACACAGCGGCGCTTGTGAAGCCGACAAAAATCACAAGGAGACATTTCTTCTGCGTCTTGGGAACGATCGATTCGAAGGGCCAGGGCGATACGTTCAAGTTTCTTGCGGGTCGCCTCAGAGGTCATGATGGAAGAAGAAGACGGCCGTGGGCAGTCGTCGATATTTCCTTTGGCATACTTAAGCGTGGGGACCACGCTAGGCTAGGGAGGGGATAGTGTTACGGACGCTCCTGGGAGCCCGCTGGGTCCCAGGAGGAAATATCCTCAGAGCAGGCGTACTCCTGGGAGTCGGACGGCTCCTAGGAGTAAAGCTCACAGGAACCAATAAGGTCTAAGGAACATGTATCACATAGCATTACATTATAGTAGTATTGCAGGTCACGGTGATCTGGCAGCGGCCTTCCGCGGTCGGGTCACGTGACGGATCCCAGGGGATCCCAAGGGATCCAGTACGACTATGTCGTGAAGGATCCCAAGGGACCTGTGGGATCCAAGGAGAACGAAGGTTCTATATAAGACTGGCACGTCTGCCATTAGATAGGAGCTTCGTGCTCAACTTCAAATAGTATTCTGATACTTAGTAACTGTCTTCCCGTCTACGTGATACACCTACCTCTCGATCATCAGAGATCAACTGCAGCCTTCTGTATTTACAGCGAGTAAATACCGGACCGTTACAACTACTACGAATACAGTAGCTGTAAGGCATAGCACAGACAGCCCCTGCTATAGCAGGGCAGCAGGTAGGAGTTAATACTAGTGCTAATAATAGTGATAGTAATAATAGTAGTAGTAGAGTAGTAGTAGTAAGGGAGCTATAGTAGCCACGGGCCTATTTTATAAGTATCAGCGTAGTTCTAACGATTCCTTATAACGCTAACTACGTTAGAATCTTTAAATTAATAACTTATAATCTTCTTCTTTATTACGTGAGTAGTAGTAAGGTTAGAGGCGCGTAAGGCGCGGGCGGCGCGGGAGCTTTTAGCTATATTTACTAATATTACGTTAAAGTTATTATTTAAGGAAAGAGCGTTCAGGGGGACCTACCTAGTTTATATATTTAGAGCTACTAGGCGCTTAAGACCTAACGCTGTTAGTTAGTATTAACTCCTATTATAGTTCAGGTAGTATTATCTGTACTATTTACGTCGCTTCGCTTACTATTATAAAGCTAAGCGAGGGGGTATGTTATACACTTAACGCACCTGAGGTACTCCTTAAGGCGCTCTAGCTAACTAGAGGCTACTTATATAACTAGAACTCCTAGAGCTTCCTCTTATAGGGGAGCTCTAGAATACCTTAATAAATTAAGACTTTCACACTACATGAAGCTCCTCCCTACAGTACACGATAGAACTATAATAAGATAGCCTGTTATATTATTATAAGAAACAACGATATAGGGGAAGACGTCTATTACGCTGTTTCAGCTGAGATACAGAGAAAATAGAGTCGGGATATATACTATAGAGTTAAAGGTATATCAGTTGAATCTTACCTTCTACAATAGAATGACCTCTTCAAGCAAGGATAGTAAAAACAGAGCTTTAAACGCAGTGGAAAGAAGCATGTCGAGCCTACCTCGCCTGCTCTATAGCAACCAGTTCAGGCGCCTTAGATACACTTTCATCAGGCCGCCTTACCTACATAACCTCCACCTTCGTATCACTACGCACAGCCGTCTTATAGCTTATATAGATCAAATGCCGGTCCGTCTGGATACGCGTCTAGCCACGTATCGCATGTAAATCCCTACTAAAATCATATAGAAAGGCATGCCTAACACGTCGGGATTCAATCCTCTCCACTTCAGCCGACTTCTGATAGGGTCACATATCTTAAGGACTTCCGCGACTAGCTTGTGATACGTGATGACATAGGCCGTAGCGATCTAATTATAGAGGTATTTATATATATTCTTAATAGAGGCTACACGTTAGATCAGTGCTACCGAGCCATAGGCTTAATCCGCGCAGGAATTAAAGGGGGAATTACCTTATGGATTACTGAAAATATCTCGGAATTCAAGGCCCAAAAGAAGTAAAATACTGTCACTAGAGCAGCTCTTGCTCTTTAAAATCTACAGGCTAATCCCCTACCGATATATAGTAGTGAGGTCAGTAGAGGTAGAGATATTACTGATCTATTTAGTGATGATAGAGACTTTTTTAAGGAGGATTAGGGAAAGTTAAGTGAGTTGTTATATTAGATACTACAAATACGTTTCTTTTATTAGTGATTTATTATGATTTTTGATGTCTATAATGCTTTATTACTGTTCTTAACTGTCTTAACCTAAACTCTAAAAAAAACGTAATATAGTAAATTATTAAAGGAACTTCTTATTCTTAATAGCTTCACTTGTGCTACGGGCGGGTAGCTTAATATACTACTTTCTATACCTAATTAGGCTTAACTCCGTGTATCTTAGCGTGTCTAAAATATGCTCTTGCTTTCTGTGTAGCATTAGGACCAGTTCTAACACTTTCTACCGCCTAATTAAGGAAATCTTGATATGTGGTATACTTTGAACGCTCGTAACGATAGTAGCGACGAATAAAAGACTTAAGAACTGAAAAGCTCTCTTTGATAGGGTTGAAATCAGGAGAATATAGCGGAAGGAACCGTAGTAAGACTCCGTAGCGTCTAAAGGCCTCCCGAATCTCTTTGATATTAGAATGATAGATTGACGCGTTATCAAGTATTACTATAGAACAAGAAGCTAGAAAAGCGTTGTAAAGAGGTAAAACGTTATCGATTAAGAAGCTCTCGAAGATATCGCTAGTACAGGTTCCTTTAAAGGTCTGAAAGTATATATAGCTGTTAACTATATATGCAGGGAGAACAGAGACTCTAGTTCTGCTTACTAACTAACGTTTAACCTTAGCTCTCGCACTAAAGGCCGCACGACTATATTACCTATCTCTAGTTCGATCGTCTGAGCCTAACTCGTCGACGCAGATTATCTGGTCTACTGTAAACTCCTCTAATTGATATTACTATTCTCTCCGTAATTCCGTATCTTATTAAGCGGCTGCTACTTTCAGCTTCTTCCTTATCAGCTTAATTCGTTGTAGCATACGGTCTACCGTTGATATTGACACTTAAACGTCGTATTACTTATCAAGGAAAGACTGAATCTCGTCCAAATAGAGCTATAGTTACTTGTTAAGTAAGAGCTTAACTGCCCATTCCTCTTCAAAAGTAATAACACGTCGAGGACCACCGGAAAAAAGCTGTAGAGGTACGCCAGCAAGTACTCTAGTCTTATAGCGATATACAGTTGCAAGGGAGCAATAGAATCGTCGAGCAAGGTGTCGTAGATAAGGTAAAGTGAGTTCAATTCCCGGTTCCCTTAACGTATACTCTAAACACGCCACTTCAAGTGTTATTAGCCTTGCAGGCATTATAGCACTATAAAAATTTTATCAGTAGATAGCGCTAATATTAAGCTTCAATTTGAGCTACTCACAGTCTGTTTTAAAGGTATTTTAGTGATTACAGAGGTGGAGGCGTCAAATCGCGTTATACGTGGAGGGGGGGGGAACGCGATTTTGATGAGGCTCGCGTAAAGTCGTGGTTTCTAACTAGTTATGGGAACAGCTGTATAAGTATTCCTCGGCATTCCCCACATCTGGATGTGGCGAGGCTACGAGTAGCGAGGCTGAACGTCACGTCCAACAATACATCCTGTTCACAACTGACGCGACAAAATGGACGACGACGAATTCGGCGCTGACGCAGACTTCCTCGCAGCTCTAGCAGCATCAGTAAATCCAGCTCCATCTCGTATCCAACAACCTATCCCTCAACGACTCGACCGCGCCCCTCCACCTGCAACGACTAACTCCTCCGGCGCTTCTAAAGTAATACAGCCAACGCCTCAAGCTATAGCCTCGCGAACAACCGGGTCCTCGATCCTCGTCTCCCCTCGCCAGAAAGGCAATCCAATCCTCACGAACCTCCGCTCCTTCGCCTGGGAGTACTCTGATATCCCCGCGGATTACGTCCTCGGCGCCACGACCTGCGCCCTCTTCCTCTCTCTCAAATACCACCGCCTACACCCGGAGTACGTATACAACCGCATCAAAGGCTTGCAAGGGAGATACAATCTACGTGTTCTTCTCACACTTGTCGATATCGGGAATCACGAGGAGAGTCTGAAAGAGCTGTCCAAAACAAGTCTGGTTAACAATGTCACGGTGATATTATGTTGGAGCGCGACGGAGGCGGCTAGATATCTGGAACTATACAAGAGCTACGAGTTTGCGAATTCCAGTGCGATTAGAGGGACGGAGAGTAAAGGCTATGCGGAGAAGATGGTGGACTTTGTAACTGTGCCGAGGAGTATTAATAAAACGGATGCGGTCTCGCTAGTTAGTGCGTTTGGGAGTATCAGAAATGCGATCAATGCGAGGCCGGAGGAGGTTGCTATTATAGGCGGATGGGGTGAGAAGAAGGTCAGGAGGTGGTGCGCTGTTGTTGACGAGCCCTTTAGAGCAAGGAAAGCGACGAAGAAAGGCGCGGGGAGTACTGCCGGAGAAAGTATACTGGACAGAGCACTGCCGCTGAGTATAGTCCCTTTGAGGAGTATGCCCTCTGCCGGGGAAGATGCTACTCCTGGAACTGTGACGTCTCGAGTCATGCAGAAGAAGTCGCAGGAACTCCAGGGCTCAAGAACGACCCCCGGGTTAGCGGAACAGTTCCATCTCTGGGATCCAGAAGATGACGACGACGACGATGATGATGATGATGAGAATGAAGCTATGATAGCAGTGGCGGAAGAGGAAGAGAGGAGGCAGGTAGTAGAGAAGAAGAGATTACACGCGCAAAGAGACGAAGAGTTGAGCGGTGGTGTGGCAGCTGCACTAGCGAAGCTACGTCAGATTAATTGATATCGAAATGCAAGAAATCACACCATTATGCGCCTGGTACTTAAAAGGTCATGATAATCAGCTCGATCTGATGCCCTGCGGTGTGTTATTCCAGAGGTCCCTTGCATACCTCTCTCGCTTCCTGTGGTATTATGTGTCAGGTTGTGTGCTTTCCTGCAGACTCTCTATATCTAGATCGAAGTCTAACAGAATTAGACTAACTGTATAGTATCTAGGGGACACTTACAGGTGACATGATATCCTAAGGTCTTCGAACGAGCCTTACAAGCGGCATTGCAAGAAAATTATAGAGGTCTATATGGTCAGCCTATAAACGAGAAAGGTCTCAAGACACCTTCCTACCTTATATATCTAGGGAAATAGCTAAGAGTGTTCTCGAACGCTATCGTTATAACGTCAGCCTTATCCATGTGGTTAGTCTATCACAATTAGCTCAGTAAGTTGCTCAGCTAATAGCTAACTGATTAGCTGACCAGCCACTCTAAGTTTATCACACCTAGACCTAGCAGAATAATGTAAACAGAACAAGTGCAATTCATGTAATTCGGATCAGAAGATTCGTGATCTTATTCAATCATCTCTTATATTTATAAACCAACTAATCGCTGAAATGCGAGAAGTAAGAAGAAAAATTATCATAAGAAAAATCTCCCACCAAAAAGCCAACACCTATCTTTTTCTATACCCCAGATCCCCCAAGGTGTCCCCGCCACATATCCTTATTACCCAGGCCCTCTATCTAGAACCCTCACATACGGACTCGGGAAAAGACCTCTCTTCCCCATATACGTCCCGTGAAACCAATCATCATTCACATTCCTACACTCCCTAACCTCTGCCCCCTTCGGGAACATCAACTCATCATCTGCGCCAGCAGCAGGGTACCAGCTCCATTCCGCTACGCAAACCATGCCTACGCCTCCATCAGGCGGGAAGGTCGCGTCAAGTACTATATCAGGATAGTTAACAGGCGGGCTCTTTATCACGTCGCTAGTCACGAGCTTAACGTGCGTATCGTCGTTCTTAGTATGTGTTCCATGCCCCCAGCTCCATTTCTGGAGATCGCTAGCCTGGGTCGTGTCTTTGGGCACAAGGGCTTGTTCGTTCAGTCCGCTTCCGCCGACAAGACCTTGGACGATGACACGCCGCTGGCCGCCGTGGATATCTTCGAACCCGACAACAATCATACGGTGTCCTTGGAGACAGCGGCGCCAGCCATTGTGGCCATTCTCTGCACTGATGCGGCGAGACGTGACAACGAGTTTGGAGTAGCAAGTTGTACATATGTCGTAGTCGCCTGGGAAGGTGCCAGGAACACGGCTGATGCAGGAGAAGCAATGGTAGCGAGACTGGGATGGCTGGATCGGATATCTACAGATATCACATTTGGTTAAGAACGTGAGAGGTTTGAAATTGCCGAGATCCATGACACCAGGTCCAGTCAGGATAGATGCAGATACAGGCGTTTGCTGATCGTGCGTTAGTGACATAGGAGGAACGACCGATTCAGTAGGTTTGTAGGTCAGGGGTAAGAGGGGATGAGTGCAAGATTTGCCTTGATTAACACAAAGATTGCAGAAGCCCCAATCGCCTTCGTTGCAAATACCACAGAGCCAGTAGCACTCGTTTGCCCACGCTAGACAATTAGCACAGAAGCTGCCACTTTGAAGTCGTTTCTGTGGATCTTCGTTTGTGAGCGTCTTCCGACCTTCTGCTCCTCCCGGCGTTGACCTCGGTGGAATATATCGGCTTGCTATTAGCATGTGCGGCCTCTCAATCGGTTGTCCAGATTGAGACCTGATTTGCCACTTATCCCATGCCGACTGACCAAACCCAAACCAATGCAAACATCCAAGACCTGATCGGTAACATTCCAAGCAAATGTTGTACTCTCCATTTCGACAGATACCACAATTATAATGCAGCTCGTATTCGATGTGAGGCCTCGCACATCTATAACATGTCAAGGAAGGTTCTGGAAATAATTGCGACCGCGGTCTGGATCCAGTTGAGGAAGATGAATTTGGCCGAGAACCACTTTGCAAGGCATTAGCTTTGTCAGACAGTGACATTGCATGTGATGGATCTCGTGGAGATAGTGGTGCTGGCATTAAGCTCCGATCTGGGGAAGCCACCAAAGCAGCTGAAGGATCTGAGGCGGGAACAAATATCTCGGTAGGAGGAGCGCGATTTCTCCTTTCGGCAGGTAAGGAGTTTTCGAATCTTAGACTAGAGCAGAGTCTTGGACTTGAGTTTGGTGTTGATTGCGACGCTGGAACAGTTTGCCCTAGAACGGGTAATTCAGCGACTTGCTGCACTGATGGATCTGTACTACTCCTGGAAGCACCTGAAACAAGAGGCCGTGAAGCTGGCAAGTGGACAGACTGTGGCCGGGAACTCGCGTCTGATTGCGACCTAGTTGCGGTTCTGACCTGTGGCTCGGCAACTGGTACTAGAGTAGTCGTTGATCGTCGACTGCTACTGCTCCCAGTTCGCCTTCGCCTGTGTCTTCCCTCGTCACCAGATTGAACCTCTAGATGTGCTGCTTGTACCGCACTCATAGATTGAGGTGGTCGACTCGTATGTTCAGTACTCACTGCACTTGCTGATCTGGAGTGGGCTCTTCGTCTCCTTGAGGAACTTCTAGGTCCATCATCTCCGGAAGTCTCCCGAGAATCAGGAGCGGATCTGTTCTCCGGTCTTTGACTTCTTGAACTTGTAGCACTCCTCCTTTCCGCACCTTGTCTCCTCCTCTCGCTCTGTCTCCTCCTAAAAGCTTCCGCTATCCTCTCGCTGATTTGATCCTCTTGACTGACGTCGATATTCTCCAAATCTATGCCGTCCAATAACCCTTCCTCGCGGATCTGGCGCAAGATCTCTTCTTCCATTTCGCGAGAATCCACATCAGAGGAACTGATCAGTGACCGTAAAGAAGACTGATGTTCAATCTGCCGTGCAGCAGTACTCCGCCTTTCATGGCTCTGTCGTCTCCTGCGCTCCTCTGTAGATTCCGACCCAGCCTGTAATGACTCTGCACGTCTGCGCTCCGCCTCAGCTTCCCTCCTCTGCCGGCGCTCTCTTTCCCTCTCTCTATCCTCCGCAGTCCTCCCATCTCTACTCGCATCTCTGCTCGAAGGTGCCCTCTGTCTCCTAGCATCCTCTCTCCTCCTACGTTCCCGTCTGGCCGCTTCGCTCTCCACGCCTACCTCGACCAGACTCAGATCTCGCACTTCATTCATCAGTCTCCGATCCGCATCCTGAATCCTCCGCTCCCTCAACGACATCTCCCTAGCGTCCACTTTCGGTAGCACATTATCCCCAGGCGTATACTTAAGCTTCAACCCCTCCTTCTCCTCAGACGTCCTCCCCTTCTCCGGATTCGCAGCCACGAACATCTCGAGGAGGGTGGTAACGGTAGCATTGTGCCGTGTATCTCGCACTAGAGCACGGCATGAAGGGCAGGTATATGGTGTTGTTCCCGGAGGGAGAGAGTTCGGCGCATTGCGCGAGGAGGTGCGCTGGAATTGGAACCACTCTTTCAAGCAGGAGCCGCAAAAGGTATGCAGGCAGTCGAGGAGCGTGAGCGGTTGGTATAGCACTTCTGCGCAGATCTAGATTTGTCTCGACATTAGCAGAGCTTGAGTACAGCAATTACAAAAACATAGCACGAGATCAGGTTCTGGGTGTGGTGCAAAGCGTATCCCCGTCACGTTGAAGGATGGATGCGCTGGTGTGTCGGTCGGCTGGCGCATAAATGACAGAAGGGCAGGGAGCATTAGGGGCTAATTAATCACTTACAGAACAGGTCAACTCTTGCTCCAGGTCGAGCCCTCGGTTTTCCGACTCCATTACTGCGTACTTAGAGCCTCACGACGGCGGACGTGAAGTTAATCAGGGTGTGGGGTTGTATGTAGAAGTCAGCGTCTTTCATGGTTGCGCAGGGAAGATACTGTACTAACCTTATGTGTGGTGTTAGCTACGACACCCTGCAGGAAACGCCGTGTAGATCTACAGGCTGACCAAGTAAAGAATCTTCACGAAAATGACTTAAGGGGCGAATAAATTGTTTCTTCGTAATCTAGGTACTGAGGGGATTTGCGTTTGGGAAGCTGTTCATATCAGGATTTGGGGCATAGCAAAGCTACGCAATTTTTGCTACGTAACTTACAGTACCTATAGCCATCTTCTATTGTTCAGATGAGGCTCTCACGGGACGACAGCGGAAAGGGGACAGCACTAGGTAATATCAAGCTACTGTACTTATATAATATCTCGGGGAAGATGTTCACAAGGGTTCACCATGTTGGTGTCACTTCGAGCTTGGCGACGAACCCCTTGCGCAAAGTCGCTTTCCTACAATCAGCGCTCAGCGCTCTTTACGAGTTCGTGCAGATATTTTTGGATTATCACAGTACTTATATCCCCGGCAGTTCCGCGTGCCTTGTACAATAGTGTGGCAGAGTCCAGACTAAGACCAATTATTGACGCCTCTGCAGACTTCAAGACCGCTAGACCTGATGAGGGAGCACCGTCACTGTCTCGTTCCCTTTTAGTTGCGTATCCAAGGCGCCATGCCTCCAGACTCGTGTGCGAGATAATTACAATACTTATAACCATTGAGCTGAATCTCGAGATCGCTCCTTCACTCGCTCCTCTTTCTCTCCGACACACGCTTCACTCGTTCGCGATGCGTCTCTCCTCCACCCTCATTCTCGCAGCAGCGACTGCTATCTCTGCCCAGACAACTTATCGCACATCCTCAAAACGTGGGCTCGTATTCGTCCCTTCCAAATCGCCAAAATTACAACACGATAACCAGATATGGGTTGAACAAGGCAGCGATTTGACCTGGTACTACAATTATCAGCCTGAACCATCCACAGCGTACGCCAACCGGACACAAGAAGAATTCGAATTCGTACCTATGCTGTGGTCGACCGATACGAATTTTTACAACACGGTAAAGGGGCTTATCGATGGCGGGAGGAATATCACGCATGTCTTGGGATACAACGAGCCGGACGGAGAGTCGTCCACGGGAGGGAGTAGCATTGATCCCACGGTAGCCGCTACGAACTGGATATCTCAAATTGAACCTCTACGGAAGCTAGGCGTCAAAGTGGGTGCGCCGGCTGTGACGGGATCACCACGAGGATTTGTCTGGCTGGAAGATTTCTTCGCAGCCTGCACAAAACAGGGGACGAATTGCACTATTGATTTTATTCCTATCCATTGGTATGGAGATTTCGGTGGTTTGGCGAGCCATATGGGACAAGTTAATGCATCGTATGTTGAATCTTCCCCGGCTTGGTTGTCACTATGTCAACATAGCTACTAACTTGGTGTCTAGATACCCGAACGTGACCCAATGGATTACGGAGTATGCACTCAACGATCAACCGCTCGAACCCACGCAGGGCTTCTTCAACATGTCAGCCGAGTACTTCGACCGGCTGGATAGTGTTGGCCGGTACTCGTACTTTGGCAGTTTCCGCAGCGACGTCTCTAACGTCGGTCCTAACGCTGCTATGCTCACACAGAAGGGCGAGCTGACTGATATTGGGAGTTGGTATCTTGGTGGAGCGGCTACTAATAACATTCCCAAAGCCGGTAAGGATAATGCTGGCAGTAGAGGGACGGTGACTATGAGCTTGGTGGCTTTTTTATCTGTTGCGGTGGCGTTTATGGCTTTATGAGATGGGGAAATGGGAGGGAGTTGTTGGCGAGTTTAAAAGAGAGGGTATTTAGATTATTTCGTTGGAAGGGGTATACAATGTTAAGAAGGGATAATGACTACATGTTAGTCCGCAGATCTATATAATAGAAATGTAAGGGGCAATCAGAGGGGATAAGTAATCCTAGTTGAGGGACGGACCCCTTTCGGAGACTAGCCGGAGGCTGTTCAGGGAGTAGTATATATACTCTAACCCTTAGATACTCTTTATAATACACACTTTTAAACACTTTTAAACTGAACCTTTGATTTTAATATATATTAATATATACTTATTATTTGTTTACTAGTACGATACTAACAGCTACTAATAAATCTTTATTATGCCGTTATAAAAACAGCTCTGCTAGTTCTAGTCCTTATAAAATTCATATTTTCAAACCCCCTTCTCTACTGTAAAGCTGCAACGAGACATGGAAGTCTGATACTGATCTTGTTCCGGCAGCATTCAATGTAAGTGGGTTGAACATCTAAATCGAATATCATTATTATACCGTTATACGGTTTATACCTCTCGAACCAAACTGCTTTGTCTCAATCTGTCTCGACCTCATTCGATACATACATTTGCTCTTCACAGTTGACACTCATTAGATACCAATCATCTAATGTAATGTCAAATTTAGGTGATGCATATCACAGATCTCTTGTCGATGTATCAGGTATGGGGTAGCGAAAGGCAAATTTATTCGTATTCCTCGTCGAGTGGACTGACTGTTCTTCTAATCCGTCTCCGCCTCAGCTTAATCATAGACTCTATTTCCATCAACCCAATCTACCTAATCATCTCTTCCATCTACATCTTAGCACCACCCCTACTTCCCATAAACCCTCACCACCTCCTCATTCGCATGCACAACCGCCTCCCTCGCCCCCCTCCACACCTTCCTCTTTCCCCCCTCAAAAACCCTATACATAAACGGCGTCATAACCCCCCTCATCAACAACCCGCACAACCTCCTCTCCCTGACCCAAAACTTCCACCCCTCCCACCCATACCCCAACATCTCATCAACACGCGTCCCCGCCGCGCTATTCAGAAACGCAAACCACGGCCCGGGCCGCACGATTCCCGTATACACGCTATCGTCCCTCCCGAGGGCGCGTACCCATTCGTGGTGTTTGTCGATAGAGGCGTTCATGGTGGAGAGGGATGGGAGGGGTGAGTTGCCGTTCCAGATTTGAGGGAGGGCCATGCCGACGAGGTCGGAGATGGTGATGGCGCCGTCGGCGAGGGCGATGTAGTTTATTATCGCTAGGGAGTCTGCGTATTTTGGTGGGAAGATATTTTGATATAAGCGAGCGAGAGGAGTGGCGTTTATACCCGCCGTGTTACCTTTCTCTGAATCGAGAGGATTGAAGTCAGGCGTGATAGAGAAGTCGGGTTGATACCCTGTACAGAGGATCACGGTATCGATTTCTAAGGTTGTGCCGTCTAGAAGCTCGACTTTGTCCTCGCTGATGAATCGTTTCAGGCCGTGGACGGATGTTGCTTCTTTGGCCCAGAGACTGTCGACTAGACCGTCGCATATTACGGGCTGGTGGTTGGCGAGTGAGGGGGCGGGGGAGAGGCGCCAGGCGGGGTCGAGCTTGAATGCTTGTTTGGAGTAGCGCTCGATTGTCCAGTCGAAGAGGAAGCGAGCGACTGAGGTGAGGTAGCGATCTAAGACGAATTTGATGACGTTCTTTTGGCGGGTGACGACGAGGTCTAGAGGGGCGCCGTCGACGATTCGAGGGAGCTGGGTGGGTTAGTTGCCTAGTTCTTGGAATGGAGTGGGGATTGACTTACAATCTTCACACCTCCGCGATGGGAGAGGTAGATATCTTTGGCGTGGCCGATGAGTTGGGTTGTTGTGTCGCATCCACTGTTACCGATGCCGACTACTAACACTCTTTTCCCCTTGAAGTCGGATGGTCTGTCACTGGTTCAGCCAGTGAGACTTGGTAGAGGAGAAAAAGGACGTACCTCTTGTAACGTTGCACGTGTAGAATCTCTCCTTTGAATTTCTCCTCGCCTCCAAACTTGGGAATGATTGCCTTTGTAGAAAGTCCACTACAGATAGCAACTTTATCGAAATCGTTGGTTACTTCCTTCCGGGCACGGCTAGTGCAGACTTGCCATTTCGTGTCGTCGGCATTGCGCTTGATCCAGTTGACGGATGTGCTAAACTGTATGTGCCGATTCAGATCAAAGTGAGAGGCGTAGGATTTGATGTATTCGCATGTCTGAGCTGAGGTGAGATGTGATGGGAGATCTGTATATAAATGAGAAGTTGACGACGAAGTAAGGGGGAGGTAATGACGTACGATCCGGTATTGGGAAATCTGTGAAAGAATTCTGTGTATTTCAGTCAATATTTTTTCTGATTTGATGGGTGATGAGGAAACACCTGCACCATATTTGCTGACATTGGATACAGTCTCTAGGTATATAATATCAGTTCGCTGTATAAATGTTGATCACGGGACGGTTGTCTAACCTGGTAAAGTCGACGTCGTCAAGGGATCTTCAGAATATGCCCAAACTCCTCCAGCACTATCTCGTTTCTCAAATCCTGTGACTTTGAAGCCTTCCTCTTTCAAGTTCTTCAATACAGCCAGTCCTGCAGGACCTATCATGTATGTATTGTCAGCAAGCTCTCATCTGCTTACGCCAAGAGCGGTTTTTATCCAGCAGTGCTGGACTTACCTGCGCCGATTACAGCTACAGTGATATTCTCCATGATGTGAGAGAAATAGACTTTCTCATCACTGGACCAGGCTTGAGAATATATAAGTTGGATCGGATTTACGATTCTTGATTCAAGATGATGAGATGAGATGATAGCCTATGCACTCGGTCGGACATGATGCAACTACAGCCCCTCTGCCGTAAGCCATTTAGGCGACGAATGCAAATCCCCCTGACAACATGCTAGTCCTCGATTGGGTCTCGAAGCGAAACCTTTTCTCAAGGCTCCAACCTCAACTGCACATGTCCGCAAAAATCTACGGACCATGAGGTAGCAGTGGATTCAAACAAGCAATATCTTTCATCAATAACCAAGTTTACAATCAAAATCAAATTAAAGGCCGTCAACTCTCGAACTCGCTCAGGCAAGCTTTTCCAATGCCGTTCCAAATGCTCGCCACCACACGGCACAAAATCGCCGTATCCCTCGGCCTGCGACATAAACGCCGATTGCCTTCCTTGCCCCCAGAACTCATCTCTAAGATCATACTTTTCACGCTTATCAGTCCAGATCCACTGTAATTACTTATCGCCACGGGAACAGTCCCCAGAAACAAGAAACGGCTGACTAAACCGCATCTGAACGACATGGCGCTCGCGAAGGACTTCTTCAGTCTCTGCCTCGTATCGACATTTTTCTGTACCGAAGCAAAGAAGTCTTTCTTCTCAAGCAATTACTGGCAGTTGGAAATACGGTTGTACGTACCAACTCCTAAGCCTAGGCATTTTTTGCTTGACGGAAGTCGGCGCGGCAGAGTACTGTATGGTCTGCTGCTAGTCTTGGTTTACATCTTCGAAAGGCCTGAGCCAAAGCCTATGAGATTCGATACAAACGTGGATGCTCTGAACATCCTGGGACAAGAAGCGTTGGGAATGATAAGTAATGTGAAGCTGGTGGTGGCTAGGTATGATCGCATGAGGCCTCATTTGGATTTCCTGAATGCTACCATGGAGGCGTTGACGGGTGAGGGAAGACTGCAGAGGTTGGTGGTGCAGTTTCTCGCGTATCAAGGGAGGGATAGAAATGTGGGGTGTGTTAGATACATGGGGTATGATATGTGGCATTATTTGGAGCGGATGGGGCTGGATGAGGACGGGTCGAGGAAAGAGGATCTGTCTCCTGGGATGTACGAGTTTTGGAAGGAGATGGTGGAGGTACTGGGGTGTATGGGTAAGGTTGGGCCGGTGAAGGAGGTGATTGTTTGTGGGTGTGTTACTGATGAGTACTCAAATTGGCTGGAGAATGTGATGAAGGAAGGAGTAAAAGGTGGAGAGGAAAAGGTAGTTGATAAAGATTTGGAAGGGAGGAAGATGGAAAGGCTGCTATTAAGTTCGGAAAATCTTTATCGCTGATTATATGTTCAGGCTTTTTATCACCATCAAATGCTTCACGAATGGTTAATTATCCCCTAAGCTGCCATTAACACAGTTTTGCAGGACAGAGTGCTGAAGCGAGGCGCTAAAGTACTAGTAACTGCCTGAATTACAGGGCACAAGCGCTACGCTATGCCCCTAGAGAAATGTGTGTTCCGAACGGCAGCTTAGGGGATAGTTCAGGTTTGGTCTAAATCAGAGCATCAAACTAAAAATACACTTACTGTACGTCCTTTTACTAAATAATTTAAAGATTCCTGAGACGCAAAGCATCATCCTAGAAGAGAAATAAGGTAGCGCTGCCAACCTTTACGGTAACCGTGGCGCTGCCATCAGGATTGGGATTTCCACAGGCTTCGCTCCAGTGGACCTTACAGCGTGCTTCAGGAAGACGCACGGACCAACCCAATCCTGATGGCAGCGCCACGGACAAATCGCCCCCGATATCTTGGCAAAAACATGTGAAGGCCTGCTGACTTAGCTGTTCAGCCAATAAGAGATCTACAATTGTGATACCTCTATATCCCCACCTAGAAGCTGCTGAATCCATGCCTCGAGGTCCATTCCATCTTTACTTTACATGCGTTGTCTTTCTCTCCTTCTCACCACTTTGACAACTGTGGATTGCTTTATCTTTTATGCTTATACTTCACGGTCGTCCTTGCAGAAGTTTCAATTGAGACGAACATTGTTCTGTTCAAGATTACCAAGGGAAAGGGTTCAGGCTTAGACTTCACTTCACGAAGGATATTGCGGCAGGTATTGTTACCTCTTGATTACCGCGGCCGTAACAACTATAGAAACACACGACAAGAGACGGATGTTCGCTGAAGTAGCACGAAACTACAGGAAGCCTATGACTCAGGATATATTGTCTATGACTTCGCCTTGACAGCCTATTATCGAAAGTCCTTGCACAGAGCCAAAGCACCGTGGTGAAGGAAAGCAAACATTAGAAGGACTAACAGTCTCATAATACGATACGACTCTCAAAATGTCCTCCTCACAACCACAAATCTACCGCCCTAAACCCCGCCGTCCCTTCGCCCCCTTCGACCAAACCTCCACACCACAAGAACCTCCCTCTCCTTCGCTCGCCCCTTTAGAACCGCCTTCACGAACCCACTCCTTCCTCAACCTCACCTCCTCGACCCTCCTAGGCATATACTCACCTACCGGCTACCAAGCGGACGACATCTCCTCCACACCATGGGGGACAGGCGCGCAGACCCCACGAACACCGTCATTCTCAGCGCCAGGCTCAACACGTCCAAGATCGAAATCGCAGGCTCATCTCCAGCCTTCACAATCCGCGACGTCGAATGTGTTCGCACTAGGGTTGAGGGGTATACTGCTCTTTGGTATGGGTATGGGATATGGACTTCTAGTACGTCATCTCCATGACGACAGGCAACTGGCGCCGTTCCAGGTAGAAGGCATCATCAAGCCGCGGAACGACTGGCGATACCTTGTGTTTTGGGGCGTGGCAGGCGTCTTACTGGGAAGCTTGATGCCGTGGGTCGATACGCTCTTCTTGGAGTCTGGAGAGGAGGCACTTTCTAGTCCTGGAGAGGCAGAAGGGCAGGAAGAGGGTGGGGAGAGCGGCATCTTCGGAGCGGACTGGACGCCGGTTGTTAGGAGTGTGGGTGCCTTTGTGGGCATTGCTTATGCTATTGTATGTGACCTTGTCCGTTCCTTTTCCTCTTCTCAGCCTTCCTGCGTCCTTTGCATGGGAAAGTCACGGTAAAGACAGAATGCTAACTGTGCATAGCGCAAACTCCCATGGGCATCAACCCTCCAAGCCTCTCTCACACTCGCCCTCGTCAATCCAGTCCTCTGGTACTTAATCGACCGATCCAAACCCGGCTTCCTCCTCTCCGCGTTCGTCGGTGCAACCGGCACAGCTCTCCTCCTTGCCTCGAATCCCGATATGATGCCCTCCCCGGCCTTTGCCAGTATGCCTAAGAGCTCCAAGAATTCCACCTCGTCGAAATATCTAAGCAGTCTGGGTGGCGAGCTAGGACTAGGCGGTATTAGGAGGGAGACTATCGAGGGCGGGATTTGGATTCTCAGCGTACTGTTTTGTAGTTGTGTCTGTTTTGGTAATATCGGGAGGAGGCTTGCTCTAAGCGGGAGGGGTCGTGTAGCAAGAGGGAGATAGATAGCATCTGGACTGCATAGACGGGCGAGTGGATAGATGGATCACCATAAGAATCATGTGCTCGCCTTTCTTTGTTACACATTGAAATGAAGTTTGGAGGTTTGCATGAACCGGCTTGGATTAGGTTTGGGTTGCGTGAGAGAGAAGGCTAGCGGTTTTGGATATACCAGCTACAGTCCGTAATGTCTTTAGTAGAGCAACATTAGGTGTTTCGATATCGTGAGTGTATAAATAGGAGGGCAAAATGGACGCTTTCTACTTCTTGAAATTGGAGCTGCCACTTATAGTGAACATTCCGACATTTAAGGTCTCGCTTTGTGGGTACCTGCTTTAGAGTGTGGACTCTGCTATATCTATCCTAGTAGGTATCTTAGGCAGTTTTACAAAAATCCTTCGACCATCCGTGTTCGTAGCTGTTCCGCCGTGCGAAGCTGTGTATTCTCCATGTTGATTCTCAAAAGCCCTAATTTACTGTCGCTTAATGTGAGCCGTGCTCTACTAGGTGTGTACAGCCTCTTACAGGGTCTCTAATAGACTCTTGCCCTTTATCGCACTGTTCTATGAGTCTAACATAGAGTAAAATCAATGATTCCTTGCTCTCGCCTGCCTTCGGAAGTGTGATCCATGCTAATTTGTCCCTCGCGGCAGACCAGACACTTGTAGGCTCCTGTGAGCGAATTGTAAACCAGGCGTGAATAGATGCCTCGTCTTGCAAAGCCGTTGTCCCAGTCGTTCAGTGGATATAACTACTACAGCGGAGGAGAGAAGACAGTAGATCCAACTCTTATGTCCTTATCCGGCCTTACTAACGACATCACAAAGCTTCGGCACTCTCCAAGATCCCCAAAGCTCGTCCAATAAGATGTACACTCCCTGTGATAAAGACATGCACCTCCCCTTTCTCCTGGCTCAGATCTCGCACACAAGTGAACGCTTCCTCTACACTACGCAGAACATGTATCGTAGATAGCGAGGACGTATCGAGTTCTTTCCACTTCTCGGCGAACGTCTTCTGCATTGTGAGGCCTGCTACAGCTGAAGAGTCGGCAGAGAGGTTGACATGGTCTATTGGGTTTAGTGGATCCTCAAAATTGGATTTGGGAGGAGAAATCATACCTTTCTTTAAAGCTTGAGCGGGTGGCACAGTAGGGCAGAAGATAACGTGGTCGAATGTAACGGTGTTGTGGGATTTAATGGCATCGTATAGCCCGGTCAACAGCCCAAGAGATTCCCGATGGCCTTGTTGGTTGAAGATGAGGATTCGAGGCCTAGGCCTGGATATGCTGTCAGCGGATTTTGATTTAGAGTTAGCAAAGGAGATGTATACCTCTGAACGCATTCATCACTAAACCACTTTGTTGCAACGATGATACTGTCTGCTGTATGAGCGCCATCTAGATACCATGTGATGTCACCATCGACCTTGGTTTCGCATCTTCCTCTGCAGACCACTTGTTCAAGCCCATCAATAAAAGCGCTCGGTAACACTGTTAGATCAGGTTTGAAATCCGGATCTAGAGTCTTGAGCAAAGACTCCGTAAGAGCGATCGCAAGACTCGCGTTCGATTTCTGGAACAGAGCATCTGGTCGGATTCTAACCCCCTCTAGCCGAGAATCCAGATCAACAACACTGAAAGACTTAACACCTTTCTCAGTGGCCCTTTTTTCGACAACTTCCAAAGCTGCTGGCAGTTGTGGCACCGTGAAAGACGGAACGTCCTTCTTTTGTATCCCAGCCTTATGCCACGCAATCTTATCAATCGTGTCACCAAGTACAGGCGTATGGTCAATCCCTAGGGTTGAAATTCCCGTCACAGCTGGACGGTCCACAACATTTGTAGAATCATACTCACCACCAATACCTACCTCATAGATCGCAGCATCGACTTTCTCCTGCAGGAAGACATGATAGCTCATCAGATTCAGATACCGGAAATACAATGGCTTCTCTAAGGGGACATCAGACTCTGCAGTAGCAGCTTCTAGCCTGTCCCAGACTTCGAAAAAGTACTTTGCAAAGAGAGAGGCTGAGATTGGGGCTGAGTTGATGCGGATTCGTTCTCGGACGGCAATGAGGTGGGGTGAGGTGAAGAGCCCGATGTTTTGGGGTATAGCATGTGACTTGCGATATTGTGATAGTATAGAGTCAACGTAGGCGCATGTTGACCCTTTACCTTTGGTACCGGCAACGTGGACTATGTTTAACTTGTCTAGATCGCTTTGCTGGATTCGATATTAGCAGTTTCTGTAGTGATTGAGAGGTCCTCGTACTGAATACCCGATTATCGTGAGACATTTTCTGATTTCTTGATTCGCGCTTTCATCAAGTAAAATTTTGGCGTCCCAACGCTTCTTGAGCTTCTCATATGGCGTCTGAAGGGTATTAAGAAGGCTTATGGCGTCCTGTTCATAGTTAGAAAGAGATTTGAGGCTGGATCAGGGCCATACACACATCATAAAATCTGGTGGCCGTCATACATCTGGCTGAGGACGTGAATGTCCGACATCTTGATTGGTATAAGAATAGTCTTCTCATATTCCACAACTGGAAGTTGAATTGTGTGAGCCGCATAATAATACACTATCACACCACTATTAAAGCATGGCCGTTACTCATGTGCTCAGATAACAAACAACCGGTAAAGAAACTCGCCCATTGGTGATAGACAGAGGATGCGAGTGCTAAGGCGTGTATTACGCTAACCGTACCCCTTAGCGGCTGGGCGTGGGAGGGACCGCTGTGATACTGTACTGTACAGTACCTCGCGGAGTCGCGAACTGAAGTCAACAAGAACATTGATTTCTGTACTACCGCCAACACGTCGGTCCACTGCAAACAAGGAGGGCTGCGATGGCCAGCTTCCTTCTCCTCCCCTCTTCTCTTCGCCATGTTTCCTTCTTCCATCCTCGGGCTTGTCCCCTCCTCAAGCTTCGCTTCTCATCAACAGCTCACATGGCAGAGCAGCGAACGTACGCGGAAGCTATCAAGCTCCTCGACTCTCTGCAATCGAACAGGGCAGTTGTCTCCTCGATATCAAGTACACCGTCAGATATGAACCTCAATGCCATTCCAGAGATGCTGGAATGGACGCGCAAGGCGGGGTACCAGCCCAAAGATCTAGCTGCGCGGGGATTGAAGTACATACACGTCGCGGGGACAAAGGGGAAGGGCAGCGTATCTGTGATGGTAGAAAATATACTGCTGCAATACTGGAGATCGAAAAGCAGACCTGAAGCTCTGGGAAGGATTGGGTTATACACCTCGCCACATCTGATTCACGTTCGAGAGAGGATAAGGATTGATGGATTACCAATATCTGAAGCACTGTTCACGCGGTATTTCTACGAATTGTGGGATCGCTTTTCTCTCGCGGAAGAGGGTCCTGATTCAGAGACTAAACCTGGGTATTTCCGGTACCTGACTCTCCTGGCTTTTCATACTTTCATACAAGAGGGTGTAGGGACAGCCATTATAGAGTGTGGCATTGGTGGGGAGTATGATAGTACTAATATCCTGCCGCAAGAAGCTGTTACCGCGTGCGCTGTTACGTCGTTGGGAATTGATCATAAGGGGATGCTTGGGGAGACGGTTGAGGAAATTGCCTGGCATAAAGGTGGGATTATGAAGGCTGGAGTGCCGGCCTTTTCGTCTGAGCAGATTCCTGAAGCACAAGCTGTACTAGAAGAGCGAGCTAGTGAGAAAGGGGTGGAATTTACTGTGGTCGAGAGATCATCCGCTCTTGAAGATCTCAAGCTGGGCTTGGAAGGGGATTTCCAGAAAGACAACGCAAGTCTAGCTATTACAGTTGCAGCTTTACATCTAAAGACTTTAGGGGTGACAGAGGTCACTACCTCAACAGAACTTCCCGAACAGTTCATCACCGGCCTAGAGACAGTACGCTGGCCAGCACGCTGCCAGTACCTCATCGACGGCACGACAGAATGGCTCATTGACGGTGCTCACACGCTCGAAAGCATCGCCTCGACTGCAGCCTGGTTCCTAGAGAAGCACACATCCGCGTTCGTCTCACCTCGCCCACCAACCGCCACGATGCTTATCTTTAACCAACAGGACCGCGATGCGCGCGCCTTGGTCACGAAACTTGTTACCACCATACGGAATAGCGTCGTACATGAGAAATCGATCCGACCCCGGCATTTGAAAGGGAGGATTTTCACTTATGCGGCATTTTGTACGAATCAGCCGTTCAAGGTGCCCGAGGAGAGCAAAGAGGTGGAGAAAGTGGATGTGACATTGCAGGAGCACTTAGCGAGAGTATATATGTCAATTGATAGCAACCCGCTCAACATGGTGTATGTTAGTGCTGAAGAGGCAGTAGACCTGGCCTATAAAGTGTCTGAAGGGGATGAGAGGGTGCTGGTTCTTGTTACAGGGAGCTTGCACCTTGCTGGGGCGGTGTTGGAGGTTCTTGAGAAGAAGAGGGGGATAAAGGTAGTGAACGGTGAGTGATATAGATAATGTCAGGGACCGTGGTGAAGCAGGAGAGCGGATTTGTATTGTTTTGAGATACCCAATATTTGATATATATTTGCAATTCTATTTCTTGATTAAGCGTCAATGCGAAGCAGAAAGAGTCATGTGGACTATCCATGCTCCACTTTGTCTGCCTTGTTTTGGAACCGAGCTGTTATTTATTCGGATGATACATCGTTTCCTCATCATCTCTTTTATCTAGTATTGGTAGACCTGAGAAGTTTCTCACTGATATCCCCTAAGTCTTTTCTCTAGCGCTCGTCAGCTCATATTCCCTTCGACCATATACTATTCACATCACTGATCAACTATAACCAGTTCATTGCAGTATTGATTGAAAGGTTATATCCTCGATAGTATTATCTATCCATGACTACTCAACTCTCTCCATTCTCAATCGCCCCCTCTCCATCAAAGCTGCCAGCCAAAGTTGACTCTCTATTCAACTCCAGAAGAAAAGAGATAGCAGCGAATTACAATCCAAGCATATATGGACAAGGTCAATGTCCAGAGCTCAACACATAAACTTCACTTCAATCCAACACAGCCAACTCCATCCAGAGAAACGCCGAAAATATACAGCCCAGTAAGCATGCAAGTAAAACGATACTTATAGATGGTTCGCCTTACTCCTCCTCCATACATGTGGTATCGATATCCTGGATTTCATTTCCTAACTCCTCAAGTCCTGTTGATTTCCTTTCCCTTGCCTACGTACGGCCTCAATGCTTGTTCTTAGCGTCCATAGCTCTTTCTTTCTGTTGTTTTATGTTTTGATAATTTGATGTTTGGTATGTTTCCTCTCAGGTCCTTGTCGGAACACTTAGAGCAATACGAACATGAGGAGACCAGCGAGTGGTAGCAGCGAAGCTTGAGCGAGGCTTTTAACTGCGGAAGATGATTGACCGCTGGCGGTGATAGAGTAGACGTTGTTGAAGCTGATGTCAGAGCTGTTGAAGCAGTTCGACGCATTTACTTCAGCGACGTCTTTTGGTTCAGTGAACGTAATGTCGACGCACTGCGGGTGAAATGTCAGCCACGATCTCTATCTCTTTCCTTCTCTTTGAGATTGGATTAGCAATGGAATGTCTTACCGAGAACAAACTCGCTCCATGAATCGCCGTCTCCACCACCTGAATGGTTGCATTATCACCAACCTTCACCGACGCGTTCACTGGCAGTGGCACCTGCGGCAGGCAGAATGTTCCTGGATAAGGGTTCTTACTAGGACCGACGATCTGGAAGACGGGTACCATGGGGAAGGACATGTTTGGTGGGCCGTGGTCTGGTCCGTCCGTTCCGAAGCCCAAGTTGATATAGAAGAAGGCTGTGGCGTGGCCTTGGAACCAGCCTGGTTGAATAGCGACGGCTCCACCGGTTACAGGCCAGTTGGTTCGGTTTGTGGTGGTGCGCATACCGCCGCCTGGGGAGTTTTGTTAGTGACGGTTGAGAAAAGTGTTATGTTGATGTGCTGAGGGTGTGTTGCGGTTAAGTGGAAATAAGGTAAGAGAACATGGAAACACAGCACTTGACTGTTCCTATCTCTGTCTCTAAATAATAACAGTTCTCAGTTGTACCCTCTCAATGTTATCCTCTTCCTAATCCATCCCAAGTCGGTCTCCACTTCTCAACCCCGGCAGCTACATCCACAACCAAGACACAGCAAAACTCCGAGAAATCCATACTTACAAGGATACATCCATTGCATTCCATAGGGAAACGTATCATTCGTGATCAAATTATCGCCTCTCCATCCCGGATACGTGATAACGGTATGCGCATCGACGAGAGCAAAGCTCGCTATCAAGGCGATAACGGCTAATCTGGACGAAGAGAACTGCATCTTGTCTGTATGTGTGTATCTGTTTGTCGCAAAGAAAGAAGAATCTTAATAATGGAAACGGGAAACAGGAATCGGGATCCCGGAATCAAGATCGCGGATTCAGGATCTTAAAAACGGTTTGCAGTGTTGGCAGACAAGAGGCAGACAAGAGGGAGAGAGAGGCAGTGTATTTTAGGGTCGGTTTTCTTTGACAGCCATCGCAGCCGGGCTGGCGACCCTCACCTTTTTGTTCCCTTGACTTGGCCCCCTCCATCCCAGCATTTCCCGTCCCCTCCTACTGCAGTCTGCACTGCAGGATGGACAGGGTTTCTGGCGCTTACTACTCGCTCCATGCAGAGAGAGCCCGCCATGCGCAACCCAATTCGACGGAAGCACAGCACAGCACAGCACAACAGATGCAGTGAGCGTTAACCCTGAACGTCCTGTGCAGATTGTTCGGCGGCTGTAAGCACGCTGTAGCCAGTCAGCGGCCAGCACAGGCTCGGCCGACGGGTATTCTACGATGCTTTGGGCGTAGGGCGAGGTGTGCTGAGAGTTGATTTGTGCGCTGCTGGCCAATTGGGAGTGCGGGAGGGGTAGCGCTCGTGTGCGCTGCAGGGTGGTAAGGTACGAGGTAAATTTACTATCCCCCCCCCAAATGTATGAATGTTAAATGGTAGAGAATATAGTGAGGTATCCACTGGTGATCGCTATCTGGGTCAGTTTGGAAACTAAGCTAGGAGGTGGAGTGAGTCTTGGTGAGAATAGTGCCGGGATAATAATAGGCTCGCTCAGCCTTGGGACTTGAGATGAGAAATATGAGGTGGAATACCTCGGGATAAAGATGGTCAATGATATGTGATAGACAAAAAGACTGGAAATAAGACAAAATTTTATCATGTATATAGTATCAGATATGTACAGGTATGTCCTAGAATAAGCTGGGTATAACTTCTCGTGTATATTTACAACTTGGCCTTGGGGCTGATTAATGGGTCGTAAATCGATAGTCCCTTAATAATCAATTAGCAGGACACACTGAGCAAGATTGGCTGGGAAACCTACCAAAGTATCTGATGGAACTCCTGTAGTGTGCATGCTTAAGCCTCTGGTATCAACCAGCGTAGGATTCAATTGATCGACACTCGAACAGCCAATCAATCTCATGTTCATCTCCATCTCATCCTTCAACAGCTGCAGAGCACGATCCACGCCGGGCTGTCCATACGCACTCATGGCATACAAAAATGGTCTTCCAATACCAACACCCTTAGCACCAAGGCACAGGGCCTTGATGATATCTGTAGCTCTCCTCACACCACCATCAATGAAAATCTCGATGCGATTCTCCCAGCCACGCTCACGAAGGACCGGCATGACTTCAGCAAGGACTTCAATTCCAGAACGTGCGAAATCAAGTTGACGACCTCCATGGTTGGAGAGCACTACGCCCTGGCAGCCAACTTCGATGGCTCGGATAACGTCTTCGACACGCTGGACACCCTTGAGGATGATAGGCATATTAGTGATCGACTGGAACCACGGGATATCCTTCCAGCTCAAAGATGGATCGATGAAGCTGGAGATAGCTCTGGCAGCACCCTGAGAGTTGTCCGTCTTGTCACCAGACTGGACATTCGATCCGCTATCTGTAAACTTGACTCTCATGTCCTTCTCGCGGCGACCAAGTTGGGGAGCATCAACCGTGATGAAAAGACCCTTACACCCACGGGACTCGGCATGCTGTACGATCTTCTTTGTGATGGCTCGGTCCTTGTTGACGTAGAGTTGCATCCACTGGACCTGGTCTCCTTCTGCTGCATCCATGATCTCGTCGAAAGAGCAGGAGGCCAGAGTCGGAATCATTTGAACGACATTATGCTTCTTCGCTGCGCGTGTCAAGACAACCTCTCCTTCTGGGTTTCCTAGCTTTCCAAGAGCAGTGGCGGTAACGTAGACTGGGATATCGCATTTCGTACCGAGCATGGTAGTGGAGAAATCGACTTTCTCTACATCTACCAAAACGCGGGGTCGAAACCAGATCTTGTGGAACGCGGTGTGGTTCTCTCTCATCGTCTGCAAGGTCAGTATAGCTTAAATGAATGATCAAGAATCCTTACAATCTCATCGTCAGCACCACTAGAGTAGTATGCCCAAGCAGTTTTTTTCATGACCGTTCTTGCCACTGCCTCGAAATCCATCAAGTTGTAACATTGTTCCAGAATTGGCATACGGGCAATGCGATCCTGTCTCTCGATTTCCTCTTGTGATTCTTCATGCTCCTCCTTCTCAACTGTGTTCATGTCTACCTCTCCTAAATGCTTCGACTGGTCTAGATACTTATCGAGGGTATCGGGAGGGTGGATCGGGTCGAACTCTTCGGTTGCATCTTTTCCCTAACTCAATGTCAGAATGTCGCATATTTCCTGGAACGCTTCCATCGGCCTACGGCATATTTGAGAATAATCTTGGGTCCGCCAGGATGTTCTGTTGTCCTAATCAATAAACATGTCTTCGCACATCTGTAAGTGGGGTGGTATACCAGGTAGAAACTCCGTCACATCGTATGCTTTGCCCTGCGCAGATATCAGCGATTGCCCAGCTCAAGATTGTTCGCAGGTCATACATGTACGATAACCCAGCATGAGTCTCTCGAGTTATGCTTTGCAATTTCTTCACCGGTTAGAGGCATGCTTGCGATAGTGTTGCTGTGCTGAGGGATGGACGGTGTAAGGAAAAAAAGGACGACAGGAATAAAAGAATATGTCAAGACTTCAGCGCAAAAAGAAGCTCTAGTATATGGAGCTGGCCGATCAAGGAGACTAGTACAACGGCATTTGTGATCTTGGCCGCAGGAATTAAGAGAATAAGTTGATAGACGCGGCCGGGGAGGACAAATCGAGGTTTATGACGACTCCATTTGAAAAGTGCTGGCTGCTTGGCAAGTCCATGTATCGCGCTTTTCGGGTGAAAGGCAGGCGACAGCTGGAGTCTCATAGGTACCTACCTTATCTTTACATTCTGGATCCACTTTCCCATGCAAATTCCCAACCATAGAAGACAAGGAACAGAGGCTCTTTTCTTCAATTCAGATTGACCTCTACTATTGATTCATAATTCACGCTGCTCTAGAATACTCGAGCAAACATAGACTTTGGGATTCCCGCGCTCCCTTGACTATCCGTGGCGGAGGCAAGTCGCGGAGAAGCTCGGCATCTTGATTGCGGGGAGAGCCGAATCTGCTGCGGTATATCGATCCCCGAAATACGTCTCGCCTTCAGGGTAGACTTCTAAAGAAGCGTCCGAGTTGGTATTTACGGAGTAGTGAACTCGTCGGTTAGACTTTCAGGCTGCCATCCTGATGGCTTTGCTTCTCAGGAGTGCTACGTGCGCCGGCAAGTTGGGGCTGTGTCGGGATTGCGGGGATAATGTGGCTGACCTGTTACAGCTTAGGCCGAATACTTTTCCGAGTCTTAGCTCGACGCCGGCCATATTCTCCCAAGGATCGAAGCGGGGGCTGGAGCATTCGACGGACAAGTGGATGGGAGGTGGTCTTCATTGACAGGTCTGGAGCCTCATGGTAAAGCGGAATTTGGCAAAGAAGCCTAGCATCTCGCTACAGAGTAATACTTGGAGGACGTGAGTCATGAATGAAGGTACGAGGGTTGTGGTATTTTATTGCAAATAATATAAAGAGACAAGTGAGCAAACTCAGTGGAATACGTGACCCATATTTTAGCAGAGGAAGGAGTGAGACAACAGTTCAGACATATCCAGATTTCTGTTTACTAGTCGGCGGCTAGGCATTCGATAATAATCTCAAGGCCAGTTTAGAGGATTCGCGACAACATCTGATTGTCTAGAGTTAAGTGATGCTCCCGCTTGTGTGTCTTGAGAGTCTCCTGTGGCGTGGACTTCATAATCTCCGAGTATTTGCTGGAGAGATAGAGTGATTGGGTTTGCAGTCGTAGTAACAGACATAATGATTCTCTGTGGACACGAGGTTCAAGATGACACAGGACAACAAGATCAAGACGACACAAGACAACAAGATCAAGGTCAGAGAAGAGTGTCAAATATGAACGACCGGCTTTCGGACCTGTATTCTGTTATTCTTGTTTTAGATTCCGGGGAAGATATGAGGCCGAGGGGCGAGATCCGAAGCGGCCGCCCCCACATCCCGCCCATGATTTCACCCCACCACCCGCAAACAAACGGTACAGAGTGGATTCCGCTCATGCATCCGTCGGAAGACCCTTAAAATGCCGGACTTGAAGCTCTTGAATTCTGACGTTCTTTAAATAACAATTGTCTGTTTCTGGTCTTTTCTCTCTGTTGCGTTTCGTTTTTTTTTTATCATTATAAGATCTTTAGCAAGAATGGACCAGATACGCGCAGCTGTCGTTGACGGACGAACAGCAAACATCAGATACCGCCAGAACGAGCTTCAAGCTCTACATCATGCACTCATCAGCAATGTCGACGAGATTCTGCTTGCGATCACCAAGGATAGCAGTGGTGATGGATCGACAGAACCAAGCTTCGAAGCGGAGGCTGAATATTCTCATACCATGAGCGCTGTCAAGCAATTCTATTCGTCTTTGAACTTTGAGCAGTCACATAAAGACGAATATCTGCTCGCAAATGGTACGGATAATCTATCGAGGAGAGTTGGGAAAGGACTTGTGGTCATTCGACCGACTACTCATACCCGATTATATTCGACTGTTTGTCCCATTGCTGCTGCTATAACTGCTGGGAATTGTATCTGTTTAGAGGTATGTCTAACAGAAAGAGTAGAATTTCAAGGGTAAATACTGATGATGAAGTAGCTGGAAGACACGATCCTCAATATTGATAGAGTTCTGAAGAAGATCCTATCAGAAGCACTAGACATTGACACTTTCTACATCTCAAACTCGCCTGTCCAAGAACCGACAGCTTTTATAGTAGATCAGACATCGACAGTGTCTCAGCCAACCTTGAATCAACTCTCCTCAAACGCTTCATCTCGGACAATCGCCATCGTGGATAGAGCCGCGGATATCGATCTTGCTGCGAAGACCATCGTCAATGCTCGGTTCAGCTTCCAAGGCAGCTCAGCATACAGTCCTGACTTAGTGATTGTAAACGACTTTGTCAAAGCGAAGTTTACCGAGTCTTGTATTCAATATGCTAGCAAGTTTCACACGAAAAAGTCGAATTCCCGACGACATCAAGTGGCAAGTCAGACTAAGAAGGCCTTCAAAGAGGCCGAAGAGAAGGGTTTGATTTCTGTGTTTGGGTCAAATGATTTCGTGCTTGCTGATGTCCGAGAGAGGTAACTTACTTGCACCACTTTCTAGATAATCACTAACTTCTCTAGAAACTCCTTAATCACAAAGATGAAAGTATCTGGATGCTACCTCCCTATCCTCGAGTGCACCAGCCTAGTAGACGCTCTCATGTCTCAAAAGTCCGAGTAAGTATTCCTCTCAATCACATCAAACTAGAACTAACAAGTCAGGACCACCTTCCTTGCCGCATATCTCTTCTCCGATGCCCCTACAGCCAAATTCCTAGCTCAACATCTCGACGCAACAGTCACATACGTCAATCAAATCCCAGCCCATCTGCTCATCGGCCCCGCTGCACCCATCACTTCACAATCACCACCATTTCCGCACAAGTACAACACCGACATGTTTTCCTCCGAACGACCAGAGTTTATCTCATCGCCTGCGAAAGAACTCCTCACTCTTGAGGGCATTCTCGGAGGAGCTGGTGATACAGGACGTGGGGAGGAGCTGGTCCGCGAACTGAGGAAGAATGCTGTGGAGCCGTTACCTAAGACAGGGCAGCCGTTGGGTCATGCTGTGGGGTTCTTCGAGCAGGGAATTTTCTTGGGTGCTGGGTTGTTCTTGAGTCTGGTTATTCCGACATTGGCATATGGGTCCTGGGTTCTTGGTAAGGGGGCTTGGAGGTTGGTGAAGCATTGAGAGTGTGCTATACCTTTGTGTGATGAACCGATCGCGTAGACTAGGCCGACTTCGCAAGGCTGCGAGGCTAAGGTGTTAAGGACGTTCAGGTAAAGAGTTATACGGCGAACCTAGGGCTAACCTAGCTCGCTAGCAGCCGCATCTCTCCTTCGAGGTCTTTACGATCCTCTTCCTCTCGCTGTCTTTTCTACTTTGTATTGTAGGTACTAATAAAAATTCGTTGTGCCGTCACATGTGGAACGTCTTCAACTTCAGGCTTTGAGATATGGAGATACACCGCGAGCTCTTACCTTGAATCCTTGTTTGACCTACCATCTACTTTAACCCACAGTAGCTACAGGACAATGGATCAGGAATTGGGACACATGTGAAGATAGAGCTACTACTCATAGCCCGGAGAGCCGGAGCGGAAATTAGTAGCTATGTAACTAGGTTAGTGGACTCGGGTAGCTATTAGCCTCTATCGCCTGTGCTATTAAAAGCGAAGCGCGGATTAAGAAGGATTACAGGTAATATAGTGCTTAGGGTATGCTTAAGTTAAGTAAGCCTCGTTCATTCAGCGAAGTATTATAGCGGCTTTAAAGCTTAATTATATAGTATGTAAAGGTAGTGGTAACCACTTCTTTACTATACCTGATTAGGAAGAGTCTAGAGCTCGGCAAAGCTCGGTAAGACTCGGTGGAGCTCGGTTAACTCTGAAGGGGTTTACCGACAGTTACCCACTTAGTTATACGCAAAGGGAAATAGCTCTACGCTACTACAGGAGTTTACGTCAAGTTTTACGTCAAATGTAATTAGTCCTAATCGGGAATAGCCCGGGGAATTTGTCTATATAGGCTCGAGCGCCCTCCACGGAATCGAGGGCTCCTCAGCTTGATATTCGCGCTAATAGAGAGGTTATCACCAGATCCGTGGTTATTTCGCTCACGTGCTAGCTAACGCTAAACCGTGCTATTACATTATATCAAGCTCAAATCACACTGCCGGTGACGGCGTAATAATATCCCGACGACTTATACTCGTTACCTTAAGCGAGCCTTTGTTTTTCGACCCCTGTCGTCGCTACCTTACCGGCGCTACACACTCGGTTATACGACGACAGATAACTTATACGGAGTTATAAGACTACGCTTGGCCTAGTGTTATTTGAAAGCTGGAATCGCCTAGCTTTGCTATTGGTTAGAATTACGAGGCTAGCTAAAAGCAGATAAGTGCTTGTTATTGCCTAATACTCTTATATTAACCCTGAACGTCTAACTAGGTCACGGGACTTAGCTATACAATCCGACTATTAAGCGTCGTGCTAGTCGTCAAGAACACTCCCAACTCGGACTAGCTTCTTATTCGCTATTAGCTATTGCGAGAGCTAATATCCCTCTTAGAAACGTTGTTATATTACAACAGCGAATAAGAGCTACTTCAGAGAGCTAAGCGAGCCCACTAGCGTGCTCCTAGCAGCGGTAGAAAAGACCGTTTTTATAGCCCCTATTCTTTAATACGCGCGGCTCCCTGAAAGAACTAATCAAATCCTTGAGTTTGAATATATATTTAACTTATACGCGTAAAACGCTAAAAAGAGTTATTTTGGTACTTATTACAACGGTTATCATTCTGTAATAGGACAAGATACGCTAGTACGTAACGTAAAGGTTACTATTCTACGTTGTGATAGTGAAAAGAGCTTTTATTAGGCTTATACGCTGAAGGGGTCGTTTACACAATCGACTTACCCTTTAAAAACCCTATATCATCACTTGACGATATCTCAGTCAAACGCTAATCGATTTCCGCGATTTTAGCGGCTAATTGATGGTACGAACTGTGAGTTCGCGATACGATACTCGGGGTAGCCGTAATAATAGCTCTCCGAGTAGAAATACAACTTCTACGGAAAATCAAGACGAATCGAACCAATCAAGAGTCGACGACGAAGCTGAGTTATTCTCCTCAGTTCAAGGTACCCCTGCTAGAGTGCAAATACCCGGCGCTAGCAATGTAGACTAATCAGAGGTAGAAGAAGCTTCTACAGCTAGACCTAGGTCTCGCTTACAACAAAGAGATTCAGCCAATGAGAGTCTAGTAGACTAAATCGCCGAACTACGTAGTATGATGCGAGAGCAAGCTGAAGAGAATCGCTTATTACAGCGAGAACTACAAGAGCTAAAAAGCTCTAACTCTAACCCTAATCGGGTAAGAGACGAAAGCCCCTCAAGGTATATTCGGGAAAATACGCTTGGAACGAATATTACGGAACGTACTAGGGGTAGGTAAAGAGATAAGGAAAAAACGCTTATAACGCGTATTACAACTCTGTCGCCTAATCGACTAATCAGAGAAGCGAACGCTACGACTCGCTTTATAACTCAAATTCAAAGAGAGCTTCCTAGAACGTCTCTACCTCTAATTTCCCCTGTAAATTCCTCTTTTATTAGAGATACAATTGGAGCTACTATTATAGGGGCCCCTGACAGGTTTCCTAGATATAACGACGAGCAGCGTAAAACCGGAAAAATACGTGATCCGAAGCCGCTTATAGACGGCGTAGACCCTACGTTCGAGCGATGGGAATTATTGATTATTTCCAAGCTAAAAGTAAATTGGGACTACTTTGACGACGAGTTTACTCGTATAACCTACGTATATAATATGACGGAGGGTAAAGCACAAGAAGCCTTATTTGTAAGGCACGATACGCATAGCGGGGATCCTTATACGTATTATACGGAATTGATAGCCGATTTGCGTAAGATCTTTGTTACAAAGTAAATATCGACGTACGAAGCCGAATACGACAGCTTACGCATGTCGTTTACCGACGATTTTAGCGATTTTAAAGCTAAATTCCTACGCCTTGCTAATAAGGCTAGAAAGCCTAGGGATCGCTTAAAAGACCACTTCTATATGAAGTTATATCCTGATCTTAGAGCTACTATGAAACCCGTAGTAAACTTTATCGACGGATTCGACGAGTTTTGCCAAGCTGCGCTAAAATCGCACGAACAAGAGAGGCTAATAGCCTATCAAAGAAGAAAAGAGTCTGTTATTACAACTAGCGGCTCTAAAACCTCTGGATCAGCTCGTAGAGAGCAAAGGACGTAAAATCGTTATAATAACGATTACGTAAAAAAGACCACCGAAAAAACTACAGCTATTACAGCTATAAAGCTTAATCAGGAAGTACGCTGTTATAGGTGTAATAAGGGTTAGGGTTTGAGGTTTGGGTTATATTTGTTTCTAACTACGCTAGCTTGCGACGAGTGTTTTTATCTCTCTCTAATAGTCTTGAAATACAGAAGGACTATACTAATAATACAGAGGGTAAGAGCCTGAAGGTGTCAGGGGTACAGAAGGTAGAGTACTAAGACAGAAGGAGATAATACAGGGTAAGTGGAGTGTGTACCAAAGGGTAAGTAAAGTGTGTATCAGAGGGTAGGCGTAGTGTGTACCAAAGGGTAGGTAGAGTGTGTGCCAAAGGGTAGGTAAAGTGTGTACCAAAGGGTAGGTGTAGTGTGAGTCGCAGGGTAGGTAGAGTGTGTACCGTAGGGTAGGCAGAGTATGTACCACAGGGTAGGTAGAGTGTATACCACAGGGTAGGTGTAGTGTGAGTCGCAGGGTAGGTAGAGTGCGTACCATAGGGTAGGTAGAGTGTGTACCCCAGGGTAGGTGAAGTGTGAGTTACTTAGAGTAAGTGGAGTGTGAGTCGCAGGGTAGGTGAAGTGTGTATTACAAGGTAGGTGTAGTGTGTACCATAGGGTAGGTAAAGTGTGTACCAAAGGGTAGGTAAAGTGTAAGTCGCAGGGTAGGTGAAGTGTGTATTGCAAGGTAGGTAAGGTGTGTACCATAGGGTAGGTAAGGTGTGTACCAAAGGGTAGGTAGAGTGTGAGTCGCAGGGTCGGTAGAGTGTGTACTATAGGGTAGATAGAGTATGTATCACAGGGTAGGTGAAGTGTGAGTTACTTAGGGTAGGTGAAGTGTGTGCCGTAGGGTAGGTGTCGTGTGTGCCGTAGGGTAGGTGTAGTGTGTGTTATAGGGTAGGTGTAGTGTGTGCTGTAGGGTAGGTATAGCGTGTGTTATAAGCTACCTACGTGCTAGAATCGAGGTTGCAGCGATTCCTCGAGCCTGAGTTAGGGTGCTAGCGATATACCCGTCTAACCACTTAGCCCTAGAGTGCCCTAATAGGCCCTGTAGGGCCTTATAGGTCTTCGCTGTTTCGGCTTCCATTAGGCCTCCTGCCGAGAAGATCAGGGGGTGAAATACAGGGCCTAAGTCGCTGTATTTAAGCCGTTTAGCGTTTGCTGCCTCTGATAGCGTAGCATAGGCTTCTTCGCGTGCTGAATCCTTGTTGATTGCTACTATTTGAACGTCGTAATAGTGCCTAGAAGTACCTATAAGCACTGAAAAATCCGGTCGTTGGCTGTTTTCTAGGGCTATAGGCGTTCTAGCTGGCGTAGGCTCCGATTCCACTTTAAGGTCTTCCCGGCTAGAAAAGGTAGTAATAAATGCACGGGTAACCTGGTTATGGCGTATAATCCAGCGTCGTTCAGCACCTCTACAGGTGTCTTCGTGGCCTATTTGAGGGTAGGCTCCACAGGCGGTACAGGGCGAAATAGGGGGCTTTACAGGGAGTAAGAGCCTAGTCCGTAATGCTTCGGTAACTGTAGAATCCGCTAAAAGGTGGTGTTTTTGCGTGGGCAGGGTTCTAAGCCAGTATCGTCCGAGGTAGCTAGCGTTCTCAAGCTTCGATTTTAGCGCTTGTTTTGATAGGGTAGGTAGAATCTTCTCTTCTAGGTCTTGGTTAACGCTAGAGAAGACCTCTTGGGCTATCGGTACAGGGCGTCCAGGGGGTTCCGGGTAGAGATTAGGGCATATAGCCACTAGAATCGATCGAGAGGCTTCCTTAGCTGCCCTATAGAGCCCTGGGGCTAATAAGGCGTGTATAGGGAGCCCTAAGCCTCCCTCTCTCACTAGAAGAGAGAGTAAAGCCTGGCGAATTAGGGTAGTCTTCTCCCCTGGCTCCCTAGCGATTAGGGCTTGTACAGCGTACTTGATTCGTAAGTCCGCTAACCTCCAGAGGTCTAGTAGGTCTTCCGAGTACAATTGGCGCTGTAAGTGTCGTAAGAGTAGGTGTATACTACCCCGTAAGAGTAGGGTAGCGTGTTGTTTAGGGAGGTCTCGTAGGGTATATAGCGCTGTAGCGAGAGTGTCGATTTTCCCCTGGAGGAACGTTCGGCGGTGTGCTACAGGGCCTATAAAGGTCCCTAGGGCCTTAAGTCCAGTGGTTTGTAACTGGGAGATAGGGCTTTCAGTGCTCTTTTAGCGGTTAAGAGCTACTGGAGAGTCCCT